AATAGAACTTATGTTCTAAAAAAATGACTTGATCGTAAAATATAAATTATATGGGACTATACTTAAATATCAAAAATAAAATAGGGTTTACCTATAAATTAAAAGAATTTAATACAAGTACTTTAAATGATTAAAATCTAGTTTGATCAAAATGAAGAAAGAAAAGATCAAAAAGGATTCGTAAGCAGAATAAAATGATTCTAAATTTCAAATAAAATGGATTTACTCAAACTTCCAATCAATCTTTTTTTTTTTTTGAATTTTAAATCAAAACATTTAAATAAAAATAATATATCAAATTCTCAAAACCTAATTTAGAATTGTCGAACAAAGTTCACACAAATGATCCGTTTATTTCAGCCAAAATTCTAGAGCTATTGATCTATCCAAGAGGAAAAATCCATGACAAGTTTGATGTAATCTGGTTAAAAAACAAGGGAGAAATCAAGACTTTATTCTATTTAGTTTCATAGTTGGATCGACTTTCTTCTTATTTTCTTGAGTAGGGAACTCTATCCAGAGAAATGATATTAGAAACCTTATGGAGTATTAGAAAAAAAGGAAGAATTTAGCATAAATTTCATAAAAAATGCCACTCTATTTCACATTTAATGTTCATGGTTAGATCGTGACTTCTTTGTACCAAAGGTAAATGGTATATAAATACACAGAGTGACATATTTCAATTGCTCTCAACCTATCATATGAATAATGCATTTGCTGGGAATCAGGTCCCTTTCTTACAATTTTTAACGTGGTATCCGGCCTCTTTAAGTTTCTTGGAGTTTTCAAGTTTCTTGATATTCAGGTTGGCTGAGCTGATGCCATGGCATAAAGCTCCTTGTGCAAGTATTTGTGAGCAAAAGATTCTTGATATAAAGAGTCATCATGATATATTGTATGTTTAGATTAGTGACAATTATTGTTATGGGGGGTGATTTCATGCAATGGTTGTATAGTAATATAATGCAACAATCTTCAAAAATCCGGTTAGGGTCATTTGTTTGATCCAAATTTTAAAATATACACTCTTTTCATTCTAATGAACAATAAAAATAAATAAAAATTTGAAAAAGCAATATATAAAGTATTTTTTTAGCCCAATTAACATAGGGGCCATCCATTTGATGAGATGCATAGATCTAAGACTTAGAATGGTATTTTCTCTTTTCAAATTTTTTAGATAACTTTATTATCATTAGATTAACAATATTTAAATAGAAAAAATGATTTTGAATTCATAAAGACATAGATCTTGACATTCTTCAAATGGACGGTCTAGATTCATTATCGGAGGGGACTCATTATGACCATTACAGGGTGCAAATTGGTTTTTTTTTAGATTGATTATTGACCTGTAAGAGAGTGCATGAGC